GAAGTAAAATTGTCATTATTCGTAGGTGACATGATATTATACATAGAAAACCCTAAAAATATCATAAAAAAACTACTAGACTTAATAAATGAATTCGTCAATGTAGCAGGATACAAAATTAACACCCAGAAATCTATGGTTTTTTTATATACCAATAATGAACTTACATAAAGAGAAAGTATAAAAAAAAAAAAAATCCCATACTTTGCACAGTGGCAGTATTGTAGCCAATGATGTTTATCTGAGGCGCGATTATTGCTAACTGAAAACAAAACAAACAAACAAAAAAATCCCATATACCACTGCAACAAAAAAATTAAGATACCTAGGAATAAATTTAACTAAGGAGGTAAAAGACCCAAACTCGGAAAACTACAGGACATTGAAAAAAGAGATAGAAGAAGACATAAACAAATGAAAGAATATACCGTGTTCATGATTGGTAGCATCAACATTAAAATGTCCATACTAACCTCCTCAAAAAAAATAAAAACAAAATGTCCATACTACCCAAAACAATCTATAGATTCAATGCAATCCCCATTAAAATACCAATGGCGTATTTCACAGACCTAGAATAAACTCTCCAAAAATTCATTTGGAATTTAAAAAGACCCCGAATAGCCACCAAACTACTGAGAAAGGAGGAAACAAAGTTGGAGGGATCACAATACTAGACATCAAGCTTTATTACAAAGCCACTGTTCTCAAAACTGCCTGGTACTGGCACAAGAACAGACATATAGACCAATAGAACAGAACAGAGAACCCAGTAATCGACCTAAGCCATTATGCTCAGTTAATATTTGACAAAGGAGGCAAGAGCATACAATGGAGTCAAGACAGTCTCTTCAATAAATGGTGTTGGGAAAGTTGGACAGATACATGCAAAAAAATGAAACTAGACCACCAACTTACACCGTACACAAGAATAAACTCAAAATGGATAAAGGACTTAAAACAGTAAGACGGTTTTATGGTTTTTTTAAAACCATAAAAAATCTTAGAAGAATCCAAAGGCAGCAAAATAGCAGACATAGTATATCATAGCAATATCTTTACTGATACAGCTCTTAGAACAATGGAAACTAAGGAGAAAATAAACAAATGGGACTACATCAAAATAAGCTTCTGCATAGCAAAAGAAACCATCAACAAAACAACAAGAAAGCCCACTGCATTGGAGAACATATTTGCCAATGTTATATCCGATAAGGGTCTAATTTCCAAAATTTATAGGGAACTCATACATCTTAACAAAAGATAAACAATCTAATCAAAAAATGGACAAGGGACCTAAATAGACACTTTTCGAAAGTGGACATATAGCCCCAGCTGGTTTGGCTCAGTGGACAGAGTGTTGGCCTGCAGACTAAAGGGTCCTGGGTTCGATTCCTGGTCAAGGGCACATGCCAGGTTGTGGGCTCGATCCCCAGTAGGGGGCGTGCAGGAGGCAGCCGATGGATGATTCTCTCTCATCATTGATGTTTCTATCTTTCTCTCCCTCTTCCTTCCTCTCTGAAATCAATAAAAATATATTTTAAAAAAAGAAAGCATACAGAAGGCCAAGAGACATATGAAAACATGCTCAAAGTCACTAATCATCCAAGAGATGCAAATCAAAACAACAATCAGGTACCAGCTGACACCTGAATGGCTAACATCAACAAATCAACAAATGACAAGTGCTGGCAAGGATGCGGAGAAAAAGGAACCCTTGTGCACTGCTGGTGGGAATGCAGACTGGTGCAGCCACTGTGGAAAACACTATGGAGTTTCTTCAAAAAATTAAAACTGGAACTCCCATTAGACCCAGTAGTCACACTTCTAGGAATATATTCCCCCAAATCAGAAACACCAATCAGAAAGGATATATGTACCCCTATGTTTATAGCAGCACAATTTACAATAGCTAAGATTTGGAAACAGCTTAAGTGTCCATCAGCAGATGAGTGGATTAAAAAACTTGGGTACATCTACACAATGGAATACTTACTACGCTGCTGTAAAAAAGAAAGAACTCTTAAAATTGGCAACAGTTGCCCTAACCGGTTTGGCTCAGTAGATAGAGCGTCGGCCTGCAGACTCAAAGGTCCCAGGTTCGATTCCGGTCAAGGGCATGTACCTTGGTTGCGGGCAACATCCCCAGTAGGGGGTGTGCAGGAGGCAGCTGATCGATGCTTCTCTCTCATCCATGTTTCTAACTCTCTATCCCTCTCCCTTCCTATCTGTGAAAAAATCAATAAAATATATATTTAAAAAAAAATTGGCAACAGCATGGATGGACCTGGAAAGCATTATGCTAAGTGAAATAAGCCAGCTGGAGAAAGATAAATATCACACGATCTCACTCATTTGTGGAATATAATGAACAACATAAACTGACGAACAAAAATAGATCCAGAGACAGAGAAGCATCGAACAGACCGTCAAACCTCAGAGGGAAGGCAGGGGAGGATGGGAGGAGGGAGGCGTAAGAGATCAACCAAAGGACTTGTATGCATGCATATAAGCATAACCAAATGGACACAAACACCGGGGGGATGAGGGCATGTTCTAGGGGGTGGGAGTTGCCAGGGAGAGGTCAATGGGGGAAAGGAGACAATATGTAATATTTTAAACAATAAAGAATTAAAATTATTTTTATCTGAAACAGACTTCAGAATAATGATGGTAAGATGCTCAACAGCATGAGAAAAGATATAACTATGAAAAAAGAATAGTCGGAAATAAAGAATGACATAGCACAAATAAAGAACACATTGGAAGGAATACACAGCAGATTAAAGGAAGCTGAGTACTGAATCAGTGAATTAGAAGACAAGGTTGAAAAAAATCACTCAATCAGAGAACCAAAAAGAAAAAAATTAATTAAAAAACAGGAGATCTTAAGAGAGCTGTGGGACAACATGTGTGCCAGAAGAGGCAGAAAGGGAGGAAGGGATAGAGAATGTGTTTGAAGAAATAATGGCAGAAAACTTCCCTAACCTGGTAAAAGAAAGTCACACAAGTACAGGAGTTACAGAGAACCCCCAACAAGAAGAACCCAAACAGGCCCATGCCCAGACACATCATAATGAAAATGCCAAAAATCAGAATAAGAAACTTGAGATCGAGCCTAGCTGGCTTGTCCACACTACAAGTCCTATAAACAGCAAATTTCTATAAATTGATTATCTAAAAATCCCCACAAACGGGCTCTCCTATGTCATGAAACTGTTGGCCGATAAGGAAATGCAAAGCATGCCAAACACAAAATAAAGCAAATTTTAAAAAATTTCAACTGAGCCCTGCGGGTTTGGCTCAGTGGATAGAGCCTTGGCCTGTGGATTGAAGGGTCCTGGGTTTGATTCTGGTCAAGGGCACATGCCCAGGATGTGGGCTGAATCCCCAGTAGGGGGTGTGCAAGAGGCAGCCAATCAATGATTCTCTCATGATTGATGTTTCTCTCTCTCTCTCTCTCTCTCCCTTCTTTTCTGAAATAAAAATATATTAAAAAAAATTTTCAACTGACTCATGTACTTTCATTAACCTCAATAAAATTTTTATAACCTGAATTTTATTACATACCATTATAGTTATAACTTATTAAGATCAACTCGAAGGTTTCTTTAAAGTTGGAGACCCTTGGAAACAGCATGGAGTAATACCATTCATTTTTATTAAGCACTTGTTTCTCAGGAATTGTGTTAGTTTCTTTAAATTCTCTGTTCAGTGTTGTATTGGAATATTACATTAACTAATGTCTCAGGCATCACTATTAGCCTAACTTCTGCTGACCCCTCACTGTCATAAAAAATCTCTACCTTCTTGCCCTAGCTGGTGTGCCCAGGGCAGTGATTAGAGTGTCAGCCCATGCACTGAAGGGTCACAGGTTCAATTCCTGGTCAAGGGCACATACCTGGGTTGCAGGTTTGTTCCCTGCCCCCGGTTGGGGCAAGTGCAGGACACAACCAGCTGATGAATCTCTCTCATAACGACGTTTCTCTCTCCCCCTTCCTTCCCTCCCTTCTACTCTCTCTGAAAAGCAATGAAAAATATATCTTCAGGTGAGGATTAACAACCAGAACATACTTCTCCACCTGCTGTCTTGCTAGCAGAACTACAGTTTCATGGAGTGAAATAATATACCAAGCTCAGGAAATGAATCTTGACTGATCTAAGTAAATCATGGCAATCCTGTCCTTTAGATCAGTGGTTCTCAACCTTCCTAATGCCGTGACCCTTTAATACAGTTCCTCATGTTGTGGTGACCCCCAATTTCATTGTTACAAATTGAACATAATTAAAGCATAGTGATTAATCACAAAAACAATATGTAATTATATATGTGTTTTCCCGATGGTCGTAGGCGACCCCTGTGAAATGGTTGTTTGACCCCCAAAGGGGTCGCGACCCACAGGTTGAGAACCGCTGGTTTAGATTTTCATGAAACTGTTTTCCAGCTTCCCTTGCAACTAGGACCAGCTTATGACCAATGAAACGTTGAGTTAATCTGGACCTTCAGGAAATTTTCCAGTCTGCTATATTTCCTTGCTCCTTCCTCTGAACCCATGCCTAGTATATTGCTAGTGCCATCTTATACTAAATGGAAAGAGCTTAAATTTGGGAGTTAGATATACATGGATATGAATCTCAATTTTGTTCCCGAGCTATCCAGGGCAATATCCTTATTTCTGTGGAGCCTCACTTTTGTCACTTGTTAAATAGGCAAAAGTATCTATGATAGAACAATGGAATAAGGGATAAACAATGAAGGTTTGAAAAGTTCATGGAGCCTATAGTGGGGCTCAATAACTGGGATTCCTTATCTAATTAAATTTAATGAAAACATCCCTGTCATGCCAACCAACACTCACCGTGGTACACAAAACCTGTGATTCCATGCCCTCCACCAAGTCATTTTGATTTAATGCTCAGCAGAAAGAACACATTTGTGATGGCAATTTTTTTTTCTTTTCAGAAGCCTAGTTGTTAGAGATAAAGAACCACATGTTATATAGATAGTTGACAAATTTCCTTTACTTGTTTTTATATCCACATGATTGTAAAAAAGCCAACAGTGCGAATGGCCACTTTGGTAAAAACACACAGTGTTCAAACCTAGAAAGATTACATTCTTTGGACGGGTTTTATTCCCAGGATATCGAACCCCTTGGCCATGACAGCAGTCACTGCTTCACATAGCAGCATACGGCCCATGTTCACCTTCAACACTTTTCCTGAGAAGACAGAACAACAAAGATAGTAACTAATTTGTTCTTCTATTTGAAAATCGTTATTAAAGAATCTATGCTACTTCTGGATTTTACTGAGAATTGAATAGCCCAACCCATAGATGTTTTTTGGGCTTTAACTAGAATCACCTTTACCTTAAACTACAGAAACAATCAAAGAACTAAAGGTGTTTCTGTTCAAGCCCTAGCCGGTTTGGCTCACTGGATAGAGCCTCGGCCTGGGGACTGAAGGGTCCCAGGTTTGATTCCGGTCAAGGGCATGTACCTTGGTTGCAGGCACATCCCCAGTAGGGGGTGTGCAGGAGGCAGCTGGTTGATGCTTCTCTCTCATTGATGTTTCTAACTCTCTATCCCTCTCCCTTCCTCTCTGTAAAAAATCAATAAAATATATATTTTAAAGGTGTTTCTGTTCAAGAAGTCTGTTTTTATCTGATAACTAGAGGCCCGGTGCACAAAATTCATGCGGGGGGGGGGGGGGGGGGGGAAGGGTCCCTCAGCCCGGCCTGCACCCTCTCGCTATCTGGGACCTTTTGGGGGATGTCTGACTGCAGGTTTAGGCCCGATCCCACAGGGATTCCTGCGGATTGAGCCTAAACTGGCAGTTGGTTATCCCTCTCACGATTCGGGACCCGCTGGCTCCTAACTGCTCGCCTACCTGCTTGATCAGCCTTAACCACTCTGCCTGCCTAATCAGCCCTAACCACTTGCCTGCCTGCCTGATTGCCCCTAACTATTCTGCCTGCCTGCCTGATTGCCCCTAACCACTCGCCTGCCTGCCTGATCGCCCCTAACTGCTCGCTGGGGGGCAGGGCCGTTCTGGTGTCTGGTTGTCCTGGTCATTCCGCCATTTCAGTCACTGGGCTTTTATTATATAGGATAAAACAACAGATACAAGATTTGAAATTATTACAAGTGTAAATTTCATCTTCCCATTTAAAATTTAGAGTTCTTTCCCAGGCCTTAAGGTCTTATGTAAGTATAAACTTTAATACCATGATAATGGTGAGATGTTTTTTCTTAATAAAGTTTCAGTTCACGGGCATGAACCTCAGAAATATCTACTTGCCTGTGACATATTAATTCACTCTATTTCATTAACTTTGTAACATGACAGAGCAGAAAGCCTAAGGTAAAAAAATATATAATTCCCCCCACCCCAAGGGCAGTTTTGCGTTATCAAGAACCCCCAAAGACTTGTCCTGGAACCCTCAGTCACACTGAAATTATCCTATTCCTAGTGAACGGTCTTCTAATTGTTTTCTTTGGAGACTTACGGTTTCATACCATGTGCCTAGGGGTGGGAAAACTATAGACTATATGGAAATGGAAAGAATTCCATTTATGCTTTTATTAGAGCTAGTGCAATTTTGTCATTATATATGAAAACCACCTATACCCAATTCAAATAAATGCCTTTAGGTGTCCCTTCTGCAATGTGACCAGCAGACATGGCACTTACCAGTTTGCCGATCTTTCTCCACACAATAGCAGCTATCATAAAATTCAGTGAAAGTAGTTGCCAGCTCATAGATATAATCACAGAGAGTGTGCAGAAACAGGTCATCCAAAATCTTCTGCAGAATCTCAGGGAACCGTAGGATACACCGGCCCAGTTTCCATTCCTTCTCGTGGTCCAAGGTGATCTCGGTCTCTCGAGCGGCTTTCTGGAGCATCTCTTCATCAATATTGGCCAGACGAGCAATAGACCTGGAAAATCAGGCAATACCCACCATCACCATTCCTCTGTTAGGCACATTCTCCTTCACGTGAAAACATGGAGTAAGAAGTGACTGATATATGTAAGAACTGTCATTTTGGGTTGAAACAAGACAATGCTGTACCCACAATTACCTGATTCTGGTGAAAGCATACAACAAGTAAGCAGCTGTGTTTCCTCTGTCGTCCAGCATTTTGTCAAAGGAGAAGATGTAGTCATTCCACCGGTTATGGGAGAGATCAGCATATTTGATACAGCCATAAGCAACGGATGTCTGAGCAGCCTTCAGTTCCTCTGGGGTTAGAACCTTTTGGAGAAACAAAAACAAGCCTCACAGCTTACTGACCACTGCCTTTGTCCTGGTGTCTCATGGGCAGAAAACGGGGATAGGGAGCATCTAATGGTGCTCCTTTATCATTGAACTGTGGAACAACATGAGCCCATCCAGAGAAAATAATGAAAATACAACTCATCAGCTATGCATAACAAAGAATGTTTCTATGAGAAACTTGATATATAAAGTATGAGGTGTCAGTTTTAATTTTTTTCCAATGTATTCAGGAGATATAAAAGTGAAATCAATTATTAAGTTATACCCACTTCATTCCATAAAGATTCTGAGTTAGCAAAGAGCAAACAAGAGAGTAAAATAAAAACTAAAAATTAGGGTCAAGTAATTAATTGAGAATCAAAACGGTGTCAAAAGTAGGAGAAAGAATTCATGTAGTTTTGCCAATATCTGGTCATACATTTTTTTTTAATTTAATGTATTTTTATTGATTTCAGAGAGGAAGGGAGAGGGAGAGAGAGAATAGAAACATCAATGAT